GTCTTGTTTCTAAGAGCTTAAAGGGACTAGCAGCCATCAAACTGTGTAGATGCATCTCAGGCAGACATGGCCCTTTTTCAGTCTCATGGGAGAAAGCAACCAAGAACCAGACCAGTGTTGTTGTTTGGACGCTGACAACAAGATATGTGTGGTAAAGCTAAAATATAGCACCATATAGTTTTTAATCAGGGCTATTGGGAACATGTTAGCTGTTGTGTGTTAGTGCGGCACGCTGCACCAGAGCTTAGCTTTTGTATATAGGCTAATACATTTATAGAGGTTAGCCAGAAGGACGTTGGCGGGTAGACTCCATCGATATGAAGCAGCTATATAAAGAAGAACCTCTATTTTATTGTCACTGTGACACGTACAGCAAAATTTTGTTTGGAGCCAAGGGGCCCCGGGCCGCTGCATGCATACACGCCACCATCATGGGCAACTTGGGGGGCTTCAGTGTCTTATCCAAGGACACTTCGACATGTGGACCGCAGGCACCGAGATTCAAACCTTTAACCTTCCGGTTGAGAGACTACTGCGCTACCCATCACACCACTGTCACCCCCAGATACAGATCTATATAAATCATAGAAGAGAATGAGCAGGAGCCAATAACTGAAGAAAAGTCCCTAGTGAGATGTGGTGATTGTGAATGTGGGGAGAAGATTAGACTGGAGAGAACTAGCAGAGGCTGACCCACAGAGGAATAAAGACAGAATGTGAGAGAAAGTCCTTGTTAGCAACATTTAGCCAAAGCTTTATTTAAATTTTATCTACTGAGGATGATATTGATATTAGAAGTTAGAATCAAAGTATTCAATTAAAATATGCAGCTACCAATGTCCTTTTTATATAAGACATCTGTACAAATTGGATTTGTCTTTGACTAAATTGTATAAAATGGGAGGTTTGACTATTTAGTGTACTGTATTTATGTATGTATTGCAAGTTCTTGTTACTTAGTGGTGCAACAGCGTATGTCCATATTTCTACTGCATTTACATACCAGACACTCGGTGCCTAGCCAAGTAAATCATTTAGAAGTCATTTCTGTCACTGTTCATGAAATATTGTCTGTAAAATTCAAAGAAAGTGTTTTGTCATGGTGAAAATTTGTATTGGCCTTGACACCATGTGTTCATTCAGCAAAATTATTTAACCCCTTGACTGTATTTAGGGTAAATTGTGCTCTCTGTGGTCAGTGGTGCAATTTCTGTGCATTAAATTGGCCAATATGTAAATATTTGATCTGTAAAATCCTGAGCTATCAAAATGAATGAAGATAAGCATTTCATCAGGAAGGGATTAATGACACAGCACTGCATAATGTATATCTGCACTACAGTGAATTGTCATGTTTACAATTGAGTCTTTGCGCAGATTAAACAAACAGCATTAATTAATTAGTGAGCTTGTGCTGATAGGTGGCTGCTGCTACTGAGCCAGGCTAGCTATTTACCCTGTTCCCAATCTTTATGCTAAGCTAAGCTAACCAGCTGCTTGCTCCAGCTACATATTTACAGAAACGGATTAGTGATCCATCCAAGTCTCAGCAAAATAAAAAGCTATTAAAAGTTCACACCCTAATTGAAGCTAAGTATAATTTGTGTTGATAGATCAACATCACATCAAAGTGTTTCTGTGTGTGTTATAAAGTCTGTATCTGGACGTTCAGTGTGTAGGTGTAGGTGAGATGGAAACAAAGACTGAAAGAGCACACAAATGTAGGAAACTGTGAAAACGAAGGTCACAAGTACAACATTTCTCCCTCACCCACAAAGAAGAGTCGGTGTTGTGAGGATGACTTCGATCCAGCGTTTATTCTCCGCCGAGTCATTTTCTCTGAATCATGCTCCAGACTAACAGCCTGCATATTCACCCCCCCCCCCCCAAAAAAAAAAAAAAAGATGTCAGTCTGCCGTTCTAGATCCCCTGGTACCTGGGTAAAGTCATTGCCATGTTTGTCACTTTGAGGCTTTATTTGTAGGTGTTAGTGAGTCACGGATCGACAGCAAGGTGTGCATGTGAGTGTGCATGCTGAAATTAGGATTGACAACAGGAAGCAGCCATTTTTCTCTCCTCCACCAAATCTTCTTTCTGCTTCCAGATTTCTGTTATGTCTGTTGCTTTAGGCTCTGCAGTGTTTATTTCTCACAGTCCCGCCTCTACATGGGTTTTATCAGCTGCAGCCCTCTGTTTTTCTGCTTCTCTTTATTTCTGCTCTTTCCCCTTTCTCTGTGCACATCTTGTAGGATCTGACAACCATCTTTTTTTTTTTTTTTTTAATGCTGTCCACCCTCCAAAGTCTGTCTCATTCTTTTAATTTCCCGCCTGATTCCCTTCTTTCTCTACCAGGATTTTCACGCTGAATGAGGTTCCTTCATTTGAGTGGTTAGACAACCAGGTAGTCTGGTGCATTTCTTCCTTACACAGAGAAAGAAAAGGAAAAAGCTTTCCTGTGTTGCTTCCAGCCTATTCCTCCTCATGGGATTGATCTCTGGTAACAACAAAAACCAGATACAGTTGAATGATTAAAACATATAACATATATATTACATTTAAGATGTGGAATCACAGATGATCTAATTTAGGGTTCATACAAACCTCGTTACTAAGCAATATTAGTCCACAGAAAGCAGTATGTTACTGCAGTCTGAACTGTAACAGTCACATTGCCTGTTTATTAACCTCATAAAACATTGGCATCAGGCCAGCTAATCATGCATCATTAGGTGCAGCTCTAATTAATTAAATCAAAATAAATACTTATGATACTAAATGGTGTAAAGAAATGAAATGCATTATACACAGTTGAATGAAATGAAATGATCTGTGGAGGCAGTTTGCTAATTCATGTTATTTTTACTTGAGCACTCCTACATCCAGCATCTGTCTTCCTGCATGTTCATTATATTGAGAAAAGTGGTCTTAGAAGCAATTCACCAAAAATGCCTTAAAGCATTGTTTGTTTCGATACTGACTTTGTGGTTTGAAACTGAAAGGAAAGGAAGTACTAAAGAATAATTTCTACATGGTGCAAGATGCTGGTGTGTTGTGGATTATGATTTCTCAAAGCTGCACTAGTCAGTTTTTATAATATACACTTCATGTAATGAGAAAGAGGTCACTCATCGTGACAACAGAATGATCCCACCGCCACTGTCGGTCCCGTCAGCATTTTAGTCTTCTTAGCTCATTGTTTTGGTTTTGCAGCCTGTAAATTGGCAGTTTTGGTTAGCTCTCACCGCTCCCATCAGTGTTGTTTGCAGCTGAAGCAGGCAGCAGTTTTCAGCAAGAAAGCTCTGATAAACTGCTAATTACCTGCAGCACACAGTCAGTCAGCAACTTGAGTGAGAACATATTGGAGCATTTAGCATTTAGGAAGATAAATATTTCCCTTGTGAATTGGTGAAGGCTAAAACCGAGCTACAAAGAAGATATTGAGGCCAGAAACTTGACTCCAAATGAATACTAACGTTTCTTTGTGTTTGCTGGATGCATAAAGAGGCAACTATTTGCTCATAACGGTAACATTGCGATGTTTTTTTACAACTTTTGCTGTCCTCACATGGCTGTAAAATGAAAATTGCTTTAAGGTTTGTGTCAAAGGCAGTGGAGAACGAAGACTTTAGTACTCTGTAAGTTTGTTCTAGTTTGAGTACAAGTACTTATAATCCCTGTTTTGTACTTTCATGTGCGAGTTTGAAACCAGAACCTCTGTCTTCACTGTGTCTATGATAGATCCTTGTTGATAACAGTAATGGGCTTGTTCCAATCACTTTGTACACAGCTTTATATAATGCAATCAGCCACATGTACTGTAGATAAAAACTGTTACATTAAGAATTACCAAAAGAAACCCTAAACAGGACTGATTACAGAAGAGGAGCAGTGAAGTTACAGCCATTTATTTTTGAAGTAACTTTTTTGATTCACTGATTTGTTTACTGAAAATTGTGATCCATGTTTCTTCTACAGTCATACACCTAGACTAATTTTGGAGTCAAATTTAGTCAATTATTTAGTCAAAATTGCCTGAGGATAAGAAAAGCCAACTCTGATCGATGCCACACTTTTGTTTTGCTTTTTGTTTTATCCCAGAATGTCCCCATTTCAAGAAAATTCTCTTGTACTGTTGTGAAGGGAGACTGAATGGTATAAAAGCTGTAAGCAGGAAATGTTTTTCAGTAGCTGATCCTTCAATCAGCCTCCTTCTTAGAGTATATTAAAGATGTGTTTGTATGAGAAACGTTCCCTCAAGACTGTAGATGAGCAGCTTGGTTTGTTTCATGACAAGTTAAATATGTTTGAAGGGAGGGGAGAAAAGGAGCACAATCCATTTTAAACTGGAGGAACACAGGTTTCACGTTCCATTCCCTTTCTGCACTGATGATCTCAACCTTTTAACGGTGCGCTTGGTTTTATCCAGGTCAGATGACTGGATTGCCTTGTTAAATTCTCCTGACTGTCTTGTTTAGACCGAGGCTCATGCTGTTTATAAGGATACAAACAGAGAAGCATAAAGAAAAATCTGCAGCTTCTGGAAAGTGTAACTGGAGGTTGCTTTAACAGAATCACTATGATCACTGTGAGAAACTCTAGAGATCTATGCCAAGCAGGCTGGTTTCTGAATTCCTGGTTTGTTTGCCTGTGTGTCTGGGTAACACACATTCCCTTAAAATGGCAGGGACGTGGCCCTCTTGTGCCTGCAGTATAAGCATCCAGCTGCTCTCTCTTCCTCCATTGCTCTGCTCCTTTTTTCTTTTCTTGTATATTTATCTCTGTTACCAACCCTCAGTGTGTGTAGTCTCCATGCTGCAAGAGCAAGAGAGCAGGTGGTGTGTATGTGAAGACGTACTGGGGTAAAAGAGTGTCCTACAGTCACATAAGGATCCCAGGACATTTATTTGAACTGAAGTGCAGATTTGTAGCTCCTTAGTACTGGTTAGCCCCCAGTTTGAAGAATGTGCCAGTAATACTGCTGTTTTCCCCTCTGCCCATAGGGAGGTCGCCCAGATTGACCAGTTCCTTCAGGAGACGGCTGCACGGGAAGCCAACGCCAAGATGCGTCTGCAGCAGTTCATCGAGGAGCTGCTGGACCGAGCCGACCGCGCAGAAAAACAGCTGCAGATCATCAGCAGCTGTGGCACCACACCAAACGGCAGCCTGGGACGCTGCAGCCTCCAGGCCTCGAAGGGCAACGGGCGTCAGGTGAGCTTATCAGAACTCGTCTGTTATATGTTAAACGCGTTACGTCATATTTGTTTTCAGATTTGACTATTTAGTTCATTTCAGAATTTTAGCATACAGAATTTTGTCAAGCCGTACAGCACACACTGACATCTGCTGACTTACAAATAAAGTTTTAGTGCATGATAATACAGGAAGTATAAAATGTTCATTTTTGAATCACAAGAGCTGTTTCAAATCATTTTGTCATAAATTTGCCAATTTCATAACAGATTTTTATGGTGTTTATTTTAATGCTTCACTTCAAGACTCCTCAGAGTGTTACTTCCAGCTCTTTGACAGTCCTCGACAGAGCAGCTTTTGGCTTTTGAAAGTGTATGGCCATTGATTATCCCTGTAATGGACCATAGGTCGAACCCATAACAGACTTTAAGATGCCTGAGAAAACAATTCTACTCTTGTTTTAAAAAGCTAAAGGGCAGTAACTGAGCAATTTTCATACATTAGCAGGTGGAAGTTCAACAGGAATCACCTCAATATCTAACCTCACAAGATGAGTATTTCTGGATGAGTGGAGACTGAAAATGGCATCAGATGCATTTGCTCACAATGAGTTGACTGTACGTTTAATGTCAGCTGACATTTAGATGACACCTACAAGATCAGGGTTTGTTAGTAGAGCAGACGATCAGTGTATGCAGGCGCACTGATCTTTTAAGTCATTTATTCTAGCTCATTAGTTGTGCCTCATATTCCAGAAATCAGTCATTACAGTATCTTCTTATTGACTTGAATTAAACCTTGCAGAGATGCTGCCTTTATATCCTGAAGTGCAAAATAACTTGAAGTTACAAGAAATCGATTTGCATTGGGTGCTTAAATTATTCTATATTTTTTAAGCGTTTAGGTTTAGTTTTTGTTCTTGTCCTGTGTGCTTGAAAAATTGGTTGAATACCATACAATAAATGGCCAAAAGTATGTGGACAAATGAGCATTACACTGATATGCGGTGGCTTAACATGACATTCTATATCCATGAGTATTTATCCACTCGTCTGGAGAGGCATTTTAAAAGATGGCGGAACCAGACGGAAGGAATTTGGATCTCGTTCATCCACAAAAGCGTTAGTGAGGGTTGGGCATTAATTTGGCCTCGCTCAAATCTGGTGTTCATCTTCATTTCAAAAATGTTTTCTGTGCTCAGGGTGTTTACTTAAAAACCTTTATCATTACACTTAAACAAGCCATTTTAAGAATATAACATTTTATTTATAGTGTAGAAATAGGAGTAAAAGAAAATTCTACTGCTGGTACATACTTTAAAGCATTTGTCTTGTAATTAATTGAAGCTGAACTACCACAGGATTATAAGATTAGGACTTAAATTTGCAAAGTGAACCATCTGATTAATCCCTGTCTTTCTAGCATCAGAATAGTTGAAACGGTGAAGCTCTGCAGCAGACTGTATCCTGACCGCAGCGTACTTGCATGAAAAACCACCTCATGCCCTGGAAACTGGAGATCAGCTCTTTGCCGCCAGGCTCAGTGCAGCTTCCCCTGTGGCACTTCCCCTCGATTATCTTAATTGTACAATGATTTAAAAAAAAAAAAAAGAAGCAAGAGCAGACATTTTCTGTTCTTAAAAATGTCACTTATTCAAATTGTAATCCAACACCTTTTGAAAAAGAGGTGACCTGTTTCAGGTTGATCAAATGTGTGGGCTGCCATGGAAACCAGTTCTCGCTCTTGCTCAAGGATTCAACGTGATTTTGAATCAGATGAAATGTGGTACAGATTTGCCTGAGGGGAAAAAAAAAAACAGTTTTAATAGATGCTGTCAGCGTCCTCTTCTCGCTTATTTGATATAGTTTTACAGTACAGTGACAAGCGATGCCATAAGGAGCCTGCTGCAGAGATGCCTGAAATCATTTCCTGGCATTTTCCTTGAAAACAAGAATATAAAATGATAACTTATTTCCTCTTTCGTAGCCATATTATAAAGTCATTTGACTTGAGATTGGTCAGAAATACTGGCTAAGTTTAGACTCTTTCTGGATTTAAACATCAACTGGTTGCGTTTCACTTGCTTTGTTGCTGGGCTGCGACGAATCAACCTGACAAGTGAAGTCGCACACCAGTTGGCACCTACTTACGCAGTTAGGGAAACCCAGTGATGTCATCCAACTAATCGCACAACTTCACAACATGAATGTCGGTCTCTTCAATCACGGAATTAGCAAGGTTGCCCTTATCTCCTAGGAGACAGGTTTTAGGGTTTTAGCTAAACCCCCAGATCAGTCTATTACAGTTTTTCACAAACAAGGAAACAAGGTTGTAGTGTTTTATAGATGATTGGCTTTATAACAGAGACAGGACAAGAAGGTGAAATACAGTAAAAAGGAATATTTGAGTTTAGACAAAGCCTAATTTGCCAGATTGGACTTTATTTTGCTCCCTTTATTTCTGGGAGATTGAGAGATCTGTTCTGCCTTCACTGCAGTCTGGTCAGGAATGAGAACCATGAATGCTGTGTTTGCCTGTTTCCTCCATGGTCCAATTTCACCAGCACTAAGCCAGACACAAGCTGTGCGAGTAAAGCAGAGAGGGAGTGACAGTGTCTGTTTGTGCACATTTTTCCTCTGTGGCACGTCGTCGGTCTGGTACACAGAGTTCCACCTGGCACTACTGCACGCACACACACACACACACACACACACACACACTGATATACAGCACATGCACGTACAAACACTACACACAGCAGACTTCAATGCACAGTTGGCTTTGGGTGGTGTGTGAAAGAGAAACTAGGAGCATTTTCCTCTTGAATAGAATGAGAGTCTGATTGCACTCACGCTACCAAATACACTTAAACATTCTCACCAGCTTTCAGAGCTACAACTGGATATTTTAGGTTGTTGGAAAGATGCCGAAGATGTTTGTGTTGCTAGAGTCAGGGTTTGATGATAGAAATGTTTGGCCAGTATCTCTGTCCACTATGACTGTTAAGGGTTAGATATACAGGCCAGGCTGCCATGATGTTGGTCATGGATGATATCATGGTAGAAACGTGTCTCTGTAGCTTCATGGGACTGTGATGGTACATATGGTTACGCCACTAGTATAACTGTATTCAAGACGCAGAATTGAAGCTGATGTTCCATCGGCTAGCCTCCCCATATAATCAATCCTTTTCATTTTGGACATCTTATGAGATTTCCTCTTAGTCCTGACAAGTTTCCTCTTGCCTAACTGTTTCTGTTCATTGTTTCCTCAGATACTTTAATCCACTGTGCTGCTCATGCACAGATCTGGAAGCTTTAATGATATGAAGCCGCACCGCTAAGCCATACAGAAACGTCTTTAATAAAAGATGTTCATTTTGATTATTATTTTTGACAAACATTCAAATTCTGTTTTGAAATAGGTTTAGAAAACCTCTGTGATGGCTCTAAAACTATCTGCTGCTTCGTTTAATATTTCTTTTTTTTTCTCTTTCCAGTGGGAATTTATAGTTTTCATTCTCACAGCAGTGCTATCTTAGTATAACAGCTGTTGTAACACAGTATACAGTATGCTGTGCTTTAGTTTATTATTTTCATTAAGCTATTGACATTTCTCTTGTGAAAAACTGTAATAACCATCACATGAGGGATTTTGTAACCTCACACAACAGCCATATTTCTATGTGAATGACATTTGAACCAGGGGTATCTCTCTTGAGGTTTGGGGGACTGAGCCACCTTTATAATAACACTTTTGTTTTTGCCCTCCAGAGGAACTCCAGCCTCTCTGGTAGCACAAGGGGAA